AAATGTATCCCTGCCCTCTAGATGTTGGAGCACTGTATGTAAAGCCAAGGATACAGCATCATCCACTGCTCTGTTTGATCTGTATTCAAATTATAGTGGATCAGTGGAGACAGGTATGCTGTTGCTGATATGTGCCAAAAGAAACAATATAGGAAATAGGAAACACTAACTAACTAACTAACTGACTACATGATGGCGCTATTGAATACATTCTTTAATATATCTCCATGGGGCACCTTTATACCTGGTTTGATGACTATAGCATTTATAATAGAGATTTGATTTTGATGCGTATATGTGGCTCCCATTGATGGACCACTCAAAAAAACATTACAGTAAAATATTCATGTCTCAATAACTGTAACAGAGAATGACACTAATACGCTTTATATGTGTAAATTTAAATTATATGTCTAACTGCAAAAATGTGAGTATAATGGTCCAAGAAAAGGAATAAAAAGCTAAATAAAGACTGAAAATAGCCACTTCCTGTCATTATGTCTCATTACTGTGGACATAATTTCCTTTGAACATTCAGAGTTTGTGTTGAGTCCGGTTAGATCAGATCAGATTAGATGTTCTTTATTGTTCCCAAAAGGGGAATTCCTTCTGCTCAGGTCAGTACCGAACTAACAGACAACAAGAAATAAAATGAACAACAGTATTTGTTTGTTTGTTAATATTTATTTCAAACCGGTAGAAAAACATTAAAATGAGATGAAGGGTAATCCTACACACAAACTGAATTAATAAATCCCCATAAACAACACAAATTTAATCTTATAAAAAGGGGTAGGCGTGTACACAAATACAAAGTTTACAAAGAGTTTAAAAATCTTTTAATGTAGGAAGTGATGATAAAACTTATCTGGCTCTTAGTAAAAGGTTGATTAATAAACACAAACCATTAAATAGTTAAAAAAGCACCTACAGTCCCCAACAGTCCCAAAGCATATAGATCAACTCTGTCATCACAATGAATCACAATCAGCCCACTGGGAGCTGAAATATCTACTGCTTTAAACGTCCAACAGAAATGGATTCAGCGTCCTCAATAACCCCCAGAACCTCCTATATTGTCATGATCAGCCAATCAGCTGCTGAGATATTGTCCATATAGCTGATTATTGATGCTATATTATGCTAATTGTACATTTCTGACATAAAACTTTGATACTAAACATTTCTGGTTCACAGTGAGGAAATATTGGCTGTAAACTATTACAGTAATTACAGTATTTCTGGATGTTATAAAAGCATTTACATGAATATGAACTGAATACGATGTATTCAATAATAAATGTAAGAAATATATGATGCTTAAAAATTAGAGAGAATTCTGGACTTTATAGTTTGGAGACATTATGCATCCATCAAGATTCTTTCAATGTGAAAACTGAGCTTCAAAACCCAGACATCTCAGTTTCCTCACAAACATCATTAAAGTTCCTCCTCTCTCTGTTTTCTTTTTTTAGAAGGATGGATGGAAGTAGCTCGGCAGGAAATCCCAGCGCTGCCTCGTCTGACCCGCTTCCTGCCCACGCTGACGAGGAGACGCTTCCACCGACTGATTGGATCTCAGCTTCTGAGGAGGATGATGGGCAGAGCCGAGGGTCCGACGGTCTGCCCGGGTCCCAGAAACAGCAGAGTCCTGCAGAGAAAGACCAGAGTCCTCCAGTAGGAAAAAAGAAACCAGATGATTCTCCAACCAAACCAGGTCAACTAAAATCTGAAAATAGGACTCCAAAAAACAAACTTAATGCAGATCAACCAGAACCTTCTCTAGCCGAGCCAGATCAAACTAAACAAGATCCTCTTCCTCCAGAGCAACCAAAACTGGGAGAAACTAAAGATTCTCCTCCTGCAGGAGATCCACTAAAACCAGATCAAACTTCTCCAACCAAACAAGATCAAAAGAATCCAAGAACTGCAAGACCTGAACAAAAACCAGATTCTCAGGAACACAGAATCCAGGAAGACCTCACAATCCAGAAACCTGAAGAAGACCCTCCTCCTCCTCCTCCTCCTCCTCCTCCTCCTCACCTGAACACCCAGCAAGCTCCTCTTCCTCCTGCACACCAGCAGTCTCCTCCTCAGGTTCTTCCGTCGATAGTCCATCCGACTGAAGATCCGACGCTGGCTCCTCCGCTCCAGGCTCCTCCGCTCCAGGCTCCACCCCTCACCATTGAGGCGTTCTGTGACCAGGTACAGCCCCGCCCTCCGGTTTCTTCTACAAGTGAGCCCAAACTGTGTGGCTTCCTACAGAAGCAGGGGGGTCCCCTCAGGGCCTGGAAACAGCGCTGGTTCACCTATGAGGAGAAGAAGAACCAGCTGTTCTACTACCGCACGCCACAAGATGTGACGCCACTCGGCCAGGTGGAGCTCTGCAGCGCCACCTTCACCTACCCACTAAAGGCCGAGAGCGGCACCTTCCACATCAAGACGCCTGAACGCACCTTCATCCTCAAGGTAGGAGCTCTAGAACTCGTTCTGACACATTGGTGAGTGGATGGAAACAAGCACTCATTGATTTCTGAATGAACAGGCGGTGACTCAGGAGCTGATGATCTATTGGCTGCAGCAGCTTCAGGTGAAACGCTGGCAGCACAGACAGACATCCACCTGTCCCGACCCAACAAACAACAACAACAACAACACTACAGGTAAGAAAGGATTTTAGAAATCCTGAATCCTGCAGGTTCAACAGCAGCTTCAAACTGATTCTGACTGATTATTAGTTATTATATACTGTCTGATGATGGATTTACTGTCTGATGATGGATTTACTGTCTGATGATGGTTTAACTGGTCTGATGATGGTTTTACTGGTCTGATGATGGTTTTACTGGTTACTTACTGAGTTAAATATATTTATATATTTTCAGTCAGTTGTTTTTAATGTGTATCTGTGTTTTCTCCAGAGGAAAGGCTTCTTAGGTTAACAGAATGAGTATCAAAGTATTGACTGTGACCTCTCTCACTCTGCTGTTAGACCTTAATCCTTCTGATTAGTATAGAGTTTGGTGAATTCTCCAGCCACAGCAGGTCTGATCAACCGCAGCAGTCCTGGTAAAGAAATGAAGGCGTAAATAATCACCCTGATACATCAGGACGGGAAACATCAGTTTGTAGTTTGACCTCCTTCCTTCCAGGTAGTTTTAGTGACCTTCTGTGTGGATATAAACAACCTCAGCCGGCTGCACTGATATTAACCAACAACCGAGACCGATCAGCAGATTCAGTCGAACAGGATTAAAAGGTTTTTAGACATCAGCTGATCTGGATTTCAGGCAAACCAGAACGAACCAGCTCAGCCTGCAGGTCCTGACCCCTCTGTCTGTAGACTCACTGGTTGAACTGGAGTTAAACTGGAGTTGTTTAACTGCTCCTTTAATGTGAGCAATGTGTGTTTACTGAGGGGGTGGAGCAGCAGGAAACAGGATGTGATGCGTTTCAGATGCTCTCTGTAGCTAAGGGAACATTTCCTATTGTTTGTTTGAGACCATCAGCCCATCACGGCTCAGTGACATCATCATTAGGACGCCGCTGACAGGATGTGATGTCATTCTGACAGCAGGTCAGCTGCAGGCGGCTGAGAGGAAACACTCATTCACAGGTTACAATAGTCAGTTGAGCTAAGATCCTTGAATACAGCTCTCTGAAGCTAAACAAAGTAAATAATTATTTAAATTATGAACACTTTATCATACACAGTAACTGAAATAATATTGTGTAGTAAAAAAAACTAAATTTTAGTTTTTGTCAATTTGGTCAATCCTTTTAACACGACAACACGAGGAGGCGTTGGTTTATCTGTTTATTGAGACTGTGAGTCAGTGTGTGTGTACTGTAATACCTATCCTGAACTTTCTAAATCCAAACAAATACCCCCATATTATAATAAAACTAAAACTAATCTAAACTAAACTAAACCCTATACATTTTTAAACATTAAAAACTACAAACCAAAAAATGAGACCTCCCCCAACTTTATGGGTTGCCTGTTGAACACTGTCAGTATAAAATGTAATATTACTGTTTTCTTTGTGTCATTCAGTCATCAAAGGTGGAAGGAAGGCTCTCAACACTGGAAGCTCAACTAGATAGTTTTCTGTCTGGGCTACACAAGCTCAGTATCTTGGAGAAACGTCTGGATGAACTTGAGAGACAGAAAAACACAGACAAGGTTGAGAAGACATTCTTCTTTAATATCTTATGCCATTTGTTTAGTATTTTTTCCTTCACTGGGCAGACAGCAAAGAAAATGTAATAAGACATCAAATTGCAGCCACCTTTTGTGTTTATCATATTCTATTCCAGAATGAGGGACAAGTCATAACCATATCCACTAAGAGCTGGGAAAATCTGATGAGCAGAGTCCTTTTACTGGAAACTAAACTAGAACTGAGCAATACACAGGTAGGACAAGTTTAATTTGACCTCTATGTAAAATGTAGTTTCTTAGCTTGAAACTAGCACTATGCCAGTTTTCAGATTAATCATTGACAGCATATTTTCACATAAATTACCATTTCTGTTGCATCTCCCTTTGCTTTCTCATCTGTATATCTTAGTTAAGTGCCCCTCCGCCATGCCCGTCATCTTCCTCCTCCTATTCTTTCAGCTCCATGTCTGATACTTCAAAGGTGAGACGAAGCAAAGCCCTCACCTCCCTCCCTCACCACAGATCTGGTTATCTGGTACCCCAGCTTTTAAATGATAAAGTAATTTCCCTGAGTACATTTAAATAAGAAAGTCACAATATTTGGGGTGAACAGAAAAACAGTGACTTTTTAAATATTTCTTTCACAAAAATAGAAGCGTATTTGTTTCTCTTACAAATAAGCTGGACAGAATACATTTTAACAATGTTAGCTAGTGGCATTAGCAAACTAACAGAAAGCAGTGGGCCTGTTGTACTATTAACAATGTTCAAATGTCTTCACTAGACTTTAATAGTGTTTTATTATAGCACATAGAGAATAATTAAAATATACAAGAAACTAGCTATCCATCTACATGCATGTTCATGGTGTAGCTGGAAGTCTTTCTTCAGTCCACATTGTCCAATATTTGTTTGGGAGCTAGAAGCATATTTTCTTGTTCCTTCTGTTTCTTTGTTCAGGAGGACCTCAAAGACAGACTAGAGAGGATCACTAACATGTAAGTTCTTAACTATAGTTAAGTCAATATTAAGCATTGTCTCTCTGAAAAGTCTCCTCTCTTCTCTACAGCCTCAGAAATAGCCCCTGATAACAAAGAGAAATTAATTTATACTCTTTTTGAGTTCACATTTTACCACATCAGGGTTGTGAGATGGGTCTGCTCCCTAATTCTAATGAATTTTGTCCTTGATTTTGTGATTTAGCTTTCCCTTTTTTTTGTTCAGGTGCACACAATTCAAGCTCCCTTAATGTTGCTAACCTTGCTATTTGTTCCAAGTCAGTGTCACACTGTGTGGGCCTTCCAATAAAACTACAAACTGTTTAAAATCTGATTCCTTTCATTGATCTTACTTCTGTATATCCAGCCTGTGTGATGACAACAGTAGCAGTAGCCCGTAGTCTAGACTGTACTGTTATTTACAGAGACCCAACAGTTCCCAGTTACTTGTTATAATATTGTTTTGAACTTAGAGAATATAATCAGGATACAATTCATTTTACAATTTGTGTTTGTGTATGTCTAAAATTTGTAGGCTGAAGAGCACCTCCAGTCTGCTGAAGAACACTGAATCTTCCACAACAACCTGCAACTAAACTATAATGATTGGTCATTATCTTCGCTTGGGTTTAATGTAATGTTACACCACAATTTTGTTCCACTTTGAAGTCTTCTTGGCATTGTTAATGTTCCTTATTAAAGCTAAATTATCACCACTGTGCGCTTACTTGGTTTTTGTTACAGGTCTCAGTTTGATAGAGCCAGCAAACAGGTGTGTGTGCCTGAGATAACAGGAAAAAGAAATGAGACAGATAGACGTGTGGCTTCTTCAGCATTTGCTCAAGCTATATTTATTAAACATTTGCCAAATGCAAACAGTCATTGTCTTTTTTACTTTGGTCCATGTATAAAGCATGTAAAGGCTATTCAATAGTAAAGTATAAGAATTCTCAATCTCACATTTTCTCATTTACGTAGTATATGGACAAGACTATGGCTAATGGCTGGTGAGGTGAGTCCTGAACCATCCCTTAGTTATGCTGCTATAGGCCTAGATTACTGGGGGATTTCCCATGATGCACTGATCTCCTCTCTCTTTCTGCACTCAT